TTGGGTCTACTCTTCATAACACATAGACTAGATTAGAGAGAATAATAATCAATCATTATAATATTAGCAGAAAGAATTCCTTATAATTCATTTTTGCAGTATTATAGTATATATAGTAATCGTTAATTATAAATTTATTTATATATGTATGTGTGTTTATATATATATTTCTTTTTTTAGAATTAATCTTAAATTACAATAAAAAGATTATATTATGTAAAATTGACAATTTAAAAAAAAGGTGTAATTAAAATGAAAATAAAGGCTAATAAATTATTATAATGTGACTTTAAAAATTGATAATTTTATCAATATAATAAATAATACACATATATCATTAACAGTATTGAAAGAATTTAAATTCCATGAGGTAAAATGTTCAATTTATTTACATAAATTTATTTTACATAAAATGTGTTTATTATGATTATTTTCATTTATATTTGTCATATAATACATACATTATACTGAATTTTAATACAATACATTTATTACATAATATACAAATTGTAATAGATGAATAAAATGAGACTATATTTTTTACTTGTGTAACTTTTCATTAAAACACAAATTTTTATACACGATTTTATAAAACACGACATGTACGAGTCTATATAATTATAATGTATATATTATGAACTAAAAGTAGTGTCATATTTAGGAACGATTGGATTGTCACCTGTTACAAATCTTCTTCCACCTACATCTACAAATATCAAAAATCAAACATCTAGCAATATACCCTCTACGCAAGTTGGCTCAACTTGGGCTGGTTCGGGATTGAATATCGATCTCGATAACATAATGGGTAGTAAAGCGAAACAAGCTGGTCCAGCACCAACAATGAACCAATTGGCAAGCAATAGCCCACAACACCAAATCAGGATAACACGTAAGTCATTCTTTAATTCTGTTGCAAAAGATTTATTTTTCTGTAGTTTTAATAAATTTATTGACCTATAATAAACAATATAGTGTGGCATTTTTTAATAAAACATGATTTTTACTTTGCTATTAGTCACTTCAATAATTGCATATAATAAATTAGCCATTGTAATTTGAATGTGTCTCACTGATTTGGTATACAAAAATGTGTGTTGAGAAATTATATGCTCATAGCACCAGGAATGGGATATGTATCACCAATGCAACCATCACAGAATCAACAGCAGCAGCCCAATGTGACGTTCTTTCCTGCATTCCAATAAAGGATTATCAGGATGAGATAAAGTATCATAGCGCAATATATGTGTGCAAAGATTTTAATAAATCAAAATTTTATTTTGTTGTTAAATTACTTATTTTAATGTGTATTTGATTGAAAAGATAATTTTAAAATTTTCACTTAAATTAATTCTTCTTTAAAGTTATACAAATTTCAATATATCAGATGATTATATATATATATATAATATTTTGTTATGGTTTATAGAATGCTCAGCATATGATTTAAGAAATGTGTATTACTTATTTTGAAGAATTAACTCAATGCAAAAGGATAAAATAAATTAGAGAATTTACGTTGATTACTTTATAATTCTGATTTGTATAAATGAAATCATTCAATATTATACAGGTTCTTAAAAATTAGAACTTGTATAAAAACGATATACATAGGCGATAAAAAGAAAAAAGATACATAAATACAAATGATATACAATAATAATGAATAATATATAAAGATATCGATCGTTGTTTTTCTCAATTATTATAAGGCAATCTGATACATACATATATAGTCTGAGCCAATAATTACGCGTTAAAATGTGAAAGCAACGATAAGTAGCATTCCTAAAACTCATAAATACGTGTAATTTCAATAATATGCGACGTTATTGCTTGTAAATTACGCGGGAACAAATTTGGCAAGATTTATCACTGTGTGTATTTTATACATAATGTATATTAATCTCTCTCTTTTGGAGGAATCGGGATTATGCCTTATTATAATAAAAATGTATTATAAAAATATATATACATACTCGAAAAAGAGCATAATCTGATTAAAAATGCATTGACTTATCATCACGTGTACATTGTCTGGAACATGGTTGCGATGAATGAAAATGTTGATGCTTTTGTAATATTAAAACTATAAAAGACACAATTGCAGTAGTCTTTTAAAGACATGTATGTAAAATGACATTTTGGCAGCTGACATAGAAGTTATAGGAAGAGAAAGAATGAATCATTAATGGATATTAATAAGTGCTTCCCTTTTTGTTACTATGACAGGAAAAACTACAATTATAATACGCTCTTTCTCTCTCGTCATAAGGGCTGTAGATAGAAATTGATATTTTTAGCATTTATTTTATAGTAAATCTGAATTTTTTGAATCTATGCACAACATCGACATGAGAAAACTTTCATGCTCGATTCAACATCAATATTGCATATGCGATCCATTGTAAATTGTTTAAGGGTTCGTTAATTGTGTAAATTAAAAGAAATTAATATTTACTATATATTACATGATATTATACGATTATCGTAAGTCGGGCAGCGAAGCATCATTAGCATTTGATTATATTACTTACTAACAATGAAATGCATATCCTTCGACATAAATGTTTATGGAATTATTATCACATCATAATTAATTGTAAGCAGTAATCATTACTACATTATTGTGTTATACATATAATCACGTGTTCACATCACAACCGTTTTTCTTAGATTAGTTTATCTTTGCTACATGATATTGAAATATTTTACTTGTTACAGAAATTGATATATACAAAAATTATAGATTGCCTGAATTATTATTTATTATATATATATATATATATATATATATATATATATATATATGTATATATATATTGAAAAAAAGAAAGATATTTATCTCTCATCACTTCTCAACATATTGATACAAAAATTACAAGTTGAAATTATTTCAAGTTCAGTGGCAAAGTTAAGTATTATACTCGTACACACGAATATATTCTTTACAAAATTACATAGTATTAGTGTATCAAAATTAGATCCCAGAAGCAATTGATTTTATAAATACAAAAAAAAAAGCATCATGTCGAATAATTATTTAATTGTTTCGCTCTGTAAAGTTAGCTCAAAGAAATCATATTCTCTAATCAGAGAAAGGGAAGAGCTTTCGCGCGAGTACCAGAGACTGAACTACATATGTAAAGGCAAGTGGTCTTTTACATTTTCCATTATTTGAGCATTTTATATGAGGCAAGATGTTCAACACATAGGCAGGGATATATTTTTCAAATGTGAAAATATATTGTATAAATATATAAGAGAAAAATCGTTTTAGTCAATTCGCAAGTTAGAGGATCATCAGCCGATTATTATGACAAAGTGTTATACAGGGATACACATGTACAGTTTAGTGTTATAAAACCCTTTGTAAAACTCAAAGTTAACACAATTCGCGCGACATCGCACCTATTGAAATTAATTTTCTTTTTGCTAATGATTTTTCAATATGTTGCGCAACAATTATGTTATTATTCCTTGTTATCTTATTTACGCGCGATAATATTGTTTATGTTAGACTGATTGAATGCGAATGTCATTATCTATTTTTGTTAGATATTGATTTTATGAATCTGACATTTATTTCATATGACTATGTTATAAATTATTTAAAAAAAATTTGGTTAAAAGTTAAAGTGAAGATAAGAATTTAACTATGAAAGGTCCCTTTAATATACCTGTATATTTTAATCGACAAATATCTTATGTAATAAACGTTTGAAAATTTATGTTTTATACTAATACATATCAATATTAATCGCGCGTATAAAATATATATAACATTTCAAATGAAATTTATATTTGGTTAAGCATTTATTAATCCTCGAATGTGAATTATAGCAAAGTAATATAATGCTTAGTATTTATATGCGATCCGATATTTAAATAGCTCAGTTGTTGATTTTTGAGACTCTGACTTGGCTAGACCTAATAATTTTATTGTAATTATTGTTTAGATATTTATATATCTACTTTATATATATACAGACTTATCGTTATTAAATGGTAATTGGTGCTGGTGTTAACACTGAATATTAATGGTAGCATCATTTATCTTTTCATTAGTATGATTACCTCTCTACCTATTCCTTTCTATTCTAGTAAAAACAATTGGAATAAAATTTTTTATCGACTATTTTTACCTCTCAGTTTAGTCATTTTATTATTTTGTATATATTATATGATTGGTCTCAATTACTTGTTATTATATTATTTTATGATTTTAGTAATTAAATTCAATGCAATGTCGTATATCCTTGCAGATTCATGTATATTTTCCTCAATATAAAAAATAATGCTATATCTCTTTAGAAATGGTTTATTAACAAAATACATTTTCGTATAATCTCGTTTTATGATATCAAAAGACGGATACATTTATATTTGCAAGAATCTGTAGAGGATACACACAATTAATGCTAAATAACAAACACAAATAATGTTGCAAAGTTTTTATTTCCTTCCTATAATCATATTGGTTCATGACAAAAGCAAGAAATCATGTAAATTTCATTTCATTTCTTGGAAAATACATGTAAATAAATTTTTATACTATGGGAAAACAGGATCTTTAACAAAATTATCTGTATATATATATATTATTGAATTTTGATGAATTTAAGAAACAATTCTTGAAGAATCTATTCTCTACAGATTTATATATTAATGCCATTAGAATTGTTTATTTATACATAAATAATCTGTAGAGAATAGTATCTGCCAATGTTAAACATTATTAAATAGGGGCATATAAAAAATAATTTTTTTTCCTTACGTATTTTCCAAGAAAATAATTCACACTTTCTCACTTGATATCATGATATGATGTCAATGAAAGATCAGTAATACCAAGAAATTTTACTTTATATAGAAAACTTATTAGTTCTCCTTATAAAGTAAAAAACCTATAGAAATATTTTCAAATAAGTTTATAAAAAGATATTTATAATTTTATCTTAATTTTAAATGATATATATCTATATATATATATATAGAAGAGAAACAAATTTTTATTCATCAACGTGTTTCGATTTTTTTTTCTTTTTCTTTTTCTGTAAAGATGTATCCACTTCTGCTTCGCCGTTTTCAATATGTCCATTTTCCTGGCCATTTTCGAGCACTTTGCTTTTTCTCTTTTTCTTTTTTTCTTTCTTCTCTTTTTCCATAGTAGCCAACATATGTGCTGTTTCTTCTAATGCTTCTCTCATCACGTCTACATTTTTCTTTGGTTCCTTACCAGTTGTAAAATACACTAATCTGTCTTCTACTTGCTGTCGTAATTTTTCACCAAATACTTTCAATGGTGTTTCAGTGAAACAGTCAATTCTAGAAGCAATGGAGCATTTATTCGCCAGAAATCTTGCGATTCGACCTCTATTTTTGGTACCAGCACGACCAATAAATGTGGAATGGAACAAAAGTCCATATTTTGGAGTATTTGCTTTACCACGGCTTTTTAATGCTCTGAATAGAGCTTTTTCTGCTCCCAATATTTGAACAGTAGAGGCTGGAACCTTTGCTAAATTAGTTAGTGATCCAGCGTGTGCTATTAATCTGGCGCCGACTTGATCTCCGATTAAAGAAGCTAGATTTGGTGCCACTCCTTCCATTTTTGATGTTAAATATCTAGACATTTTCTTTCTATAGTCTACTAATGCGATAACACGTTTAGCAAACTGTTGAACATTCATCAAATCGGTCACATTTATATCCATTCCCATGGATGACTTGGCTGCATTGACGATCATCTTTGCTTTTGCATCATCCATAACAACTTCTTCTAATGCAGATATTTTATCGTCCGTTAATTCTTTTCTGTTTTGTAACACTTGTGCTACCCTTGCATACATATAATTTTCTGGAACTATCTTTGCAAGTTCTGGGAAGTGATAGCTATACCATTCACTAGAATCAAAACAAAGATAAAAGTTACTTTCTACTATTTTATACGAGTTTATTTATTTCCAACATATTCAAATATAAAAAAAATATTATACATACCGTATACGCATGCTGAAGGTATTAATATCTTTGTCTAATTGATCCAGCAAAGTTATGCTCTGTATGATCATATTATCTACTCGATTCACATTGAATTTAACTTTAGCTCTTGAGTAACTATGTCCAAGACCTTTTTGCGCAGTTATTGAATCTTCAGAAGTAAAGCCTTTCACGAAATGATGAAAATGATATCTTATTCCTCTAATGATCTCAGGGACAGCATTGAGATGATCGCATTTTATATTTAAAGTTTCAGTGATACTAGCGCCGAGTTTAGGATCTGCAACACCAAGGATGCTATCCTTGGTGAATTCATGAGAGGAAGAATCTAAAAAAAGTTTCAGGTGCTCCGAGACAATCCCTTCGGAAATATTGTTGATATTTTCAAGAGCAGCCAGTCCTGACTTGAAAGGTGCAAATCCAACGAGTTTCACGACATTACGGAAAAGCGATAGATCTGTTATAGATTGTTCCACTTGAGGTAATAACATTCCAATCTCTTCGAATTCTTTAACACGAAATAGAGCATATCCACTGGCATGTTCAAACAGAATGAAGAGCTTCGACTGTAAAGCAAAAAATTGACTTTAGTAATACTTTATAAGATATTTATTTTTTTTTATTCTACATGCTAATATGAACATTCTAGAAAAAATCCACCTTAATTTCAATGTTTTACAAATGTAACATTTATGATTTTTGTTTTATTCCATCGTTATTTTTTATATTGTTGTATAATTATTTTTCTCTTTTAATTAATAAATAAATTAATAAAATAAATATCACACATATATGAACACAATGAAACTTGTTCATTTCGATTAAAGGTTAGAATCGTAATTTGTAAATAACAATCAATTTTGGAATAATGATTATCTTAAATATAGCCGAAATTACAATCTAATAAATACGTGTCTTAATTTTGGACCTACAGACTGATAATGTACGCGAAATTTATATAATATCCGTGTAAAATTCAATTCGTGGCCACATGCTTGTGTATCGACACGATGTAACATGTAATCAACATAACTTAATGTATTAAATAGAAAAAATATAATTCGAAACGGATTGTCAAATTATTACATAACGTAAAAGTTGTCACTTACCATTTTGTAATAATTCTATATCTTTGTATTTTGTATTTTACAAAGATTTTATTTTCTTATCCAAGTCAGAGAGAAGCAAGCATATCCAAGCTTATCATCCAGCTAGAACGGATGTGAAATGTGAAATAGCACGTTCAGTCACAGATGGCGTGGGCATGTGAATAATGAATGTGACGTACTTCCTGTTATTTAAAACAATTTATTTACATCTTACAGATATTGATATCGAGCTAAAAAAATATCGCATATATAAATGTATTAATTATTTTAAAAACCATTGATATTGAAATGAATAATAATAATTATATCGATTTCGATAAAACAAGAAGCAAAAAAAGCTTTACAATAGTCTCAGAATTTTTTTATTGTGTGATTTTAATTGAACAATTTTGTTAAACATTATAAAAAAGTGATTTAGGACTTTTCATTCAGATTCATTTTTCATTCTGAAATATATTTTCATTCAATATATAATGGGCGAGATTTATTACACGGCGAGATTAGATACACCTTATATAATATTACACAAAATAGAAACATTTTTTTAAATGTATAGACGCTTCTTTATTTTAATACTTTTTATTTTTCGTGAATAATATGTTTATACTTTATTGTTTACGATATGTTTTCTTTGCTGTTTGTTAATCTATTGATACTAAAGGTCTTGATCCAGTATCCATGACATGTAAAATGATTCCCGACAATAATCGAATCGCTTTTAGATTTTATGTATATCGCATTTCGATCGAGCTAATTTATTTTCAAACGCATATTTCTAATGATTTCGTGATTTTTCAGATTTATAAAAGACACGCGATGAGAAGAATGTCACAAGTTTAAATCGAGCGGTGGAAAATCCAAATCTGCGATTTTTGACGACATCATCCGATGGAGACGCGGCTGTTCAAAAAAGTCAACATGTTTATTCCCGCCAAATTTAGTCACTTCAGGAAACCGGACATGCGCATTGCCAACAATGATGTGCCACGTAATTAATCGCCCGCGTTTTTTTCAGTTGACATTCGGACCAATGTATGCATATATATATTATCAACATCGTTGAAGATCCGCGATCATTTCGCATCGCGTATCTATGCAAACGACTGGACATTTAAATTAACATGCATTATCTTGTAAAAATACTTTTACTCTGGAACGTATAAATCTGGATCAAAAAAAGGAGAGAGAGAGAGAGAAAGATCATTGCAAATGATAAATCTTTCCCAGCTATCTTCATATTGTAACTAATAAAAACAAGGTAAGACCTGGATTATCATTCGATTCTTACTAATTATAATTATTTAATTTTTATGTGCTGTCAATCTTTTCTTTACAAAGAATATTACAGTATAAACTACGATACATTCTGCATGAAAATATGTATATTTATGAACGGTTTACACAAACTTTTCCTGCGATTCCACGTACGTCATTCATACATCTCGTTCCGTCTGCACGGATCATTTCATTGTGTATCAAAAATATAAATAGATACATTAATTATTAATCAAATCAGCTGACTTGGGACAAGATCACTTGTCCAGAATCGAGATCCGCGCGCAAAACGTCAAGTTGGCAACGAATAATCGTAGCAATCGCCAGAGTTTCGCCATGATTTCCGGCCGCGCAATACATACGCTTATGCATATATGCGTATCTACTGTGGAGGGGTGACAGGTGTGAGGACCGTACGTACGTAGCGTTGTGTGTATATGTCTCGTGTGTGTGGTGGCTTGTGACATTACGCGCTTTCCCGCGATATCATCCTATTGTCAATTTACGCGGAATGACGGAGAGTCGCCGATCGGCGACGTCGCCGAGATTCGCCGCTTGACGTCGGCGAAATCCCCCCCTGGGTCGAGCGTGCGCGCGAGGGCGCGCGCGCGCACGTTGATTGGCACGAGACGAGCGTACTATTCCACACTGATATATATACCGCGTGTGCTACTTGGCGCGCGTCTCATTCCACGGTGTGCCGTTTGTATCTTGTTCCGCGATCGGATTTCATTCGGCTGCGACCGAGCTCCTCGCAGGGAAATCATCGTCGTTATCGTTATTGTCATCGTCGTCGTCGTCGTCGTCGTCGCCGCCGCCGTGCGTCAGGAGTCATCGCGATGCCTCTTCTACGCAAACAGCCGTTCCAGCGTCTCTACGTCTCGTCCGACTTTAGGGACGACGACGAGGTGTACCATTGCGAGGTTACCAATGAGATATTCAAGAACTACAAGTGAGTTAAGTTCGCGAGGTGAACCGATTAATCCCCATGATTCTTGCTCGCGACGACGTTGCACTGTCGTGAAACCGGAGGTAGAATATTGCCGTGTTATAGTAGGACGTATTTGTTTATAGCGCGAACTGCAAACTCTTGTTCTATCGCTGCATACAAATTATGCATGCACGTCAATTACCGGAATTAACTTTGTTGGATCGTGTAGGACTTGATAATCCAATCGCGAAGGTTTCACCGAAGGCTTGTTTATAACGAAATTTATGTTGACATTGGTAAAAATCTATTGATGCAGTCTCGGAAATAAGTCCTCTAATTTTATTCAAAAATCGAAAGGAGGATTGTATGTCCCATTTTATTATTTTCTGTCCTGAGCAAAATGGGGCAATCTCTTAATTTCATCTAGTTAGAAAATATATCTGTGTATATCTATATGTTTAAATAAAGATACATTAGATATAAATTAAAGACTAAAATTTCTGTGTCTTATTGTTAGATAAATCGACCTTTTTCGTTGTTTTATAAAAGGTCTGTTTCATAATTTTTTCTTTAAAAATATAATAATGATTAAAAATGATCAAAGTTGTCATATCATTATATTTAAAAACATAATTTAAACAGTTGTTTATTATGTGCATTGATATTATAAAATAAAGGTTTTTTTATTAAATATATATATAAATTATATTAATGTAAACAAATTATTTAATAATTATATTTAATTAACTTATATTTATAAATGTTTTGAAATTTTTTCCTTATAAATTTTTAGATTTATTTCTTTTCTAAATTTATATTTTTTAATATAAATCTTTATAATTAATAAATTAAAATTTCAAATAAAAATATACATAAAAGATTCTTGTATATACTATATACTATGTTATAATATATATTTTATGAATTCTATTACAGTGAATTTTGCGAGCGAATTATTTTGTGCAACTCGCTTATATGGTCATGCAGTATCACAGGCAGAACCAATATGACATTTGAAGAAGCTTTACAATGCGAAGAAAATGCAAAGAAGAGCTTGAAAGAATTTCCAATGGAGGTATAGACATTGTAATTTTGTATAAAATGTGTTAATTAGCATTGTTGAATATGTTTATAAATTATTTCGTATTTTTCAGTTACGAATCCCTATATTATACCTTGCTAGTAAAACGAATAGATCTTCTTTTAATGAAATGGTTGAAGATGTTTTCCAATTTGCGAGAGATCGTTATTTTGTGGGAGAAATGGTAGAGGCTAGCTTTACTGAAGAATCTTGGTGTGATTGTCATGTTCTTCAAGTTATTGTACCTACAGAGCAGCAAATTAAGGCATACATGAATGAAAATGGCAGGTAAATATAATTTAAATTATCTTAATCTTTATTAAATTGTTTGTTCACTATCAATTTTTAGCTTCATTACTGAATATTTTAGGAATCTACAAGAGCAATATTATCATCCACCAGCAAAATTATTTCGTTATGAGGTAGAACAATTAGATTCTGGAGATTCTGATGTCAGCCAACTCATGATAGTAGAAGCATCTCAAGTCAGAAGACAAAAACAACATTATAGCAGAGAACGTAATAAAATATTCCTTCGGCAACTCTGTGAACAAAATGATAGTGGTATATGGATTGTCAAGGTTAATACAGAATATTAAATAATTGTCTAGAAACATTTATACATCCTTATTAAGATGTAATTTTTATTTCATTGTTGTAGGAAAGTGTCTTGGAGAAATATGGAATTAACAAAGTACGTTTTGATACTATTTTTGCTGGCACACTTCCAGATTTTACAGTACGTGTAAAAAAGTCTGTCAAACAGAAACAAGAATCTATAGATAAATTTCTCACTTCAAATATATCAAAACAAAAAACATTCGAAAAATCGGATCCATTGAAAAAAGTTAATGACAGTAGAAAAACGAATGACACGGGGGCAATGAAGAAACATCGAAAACCAAGGTAAAAATTATTCAGAATTTGTTTTAAAGAATTTTGTTCATCTAATATTTTTTAAATGTTTTCAAATATTTATCAACAGAACAAATGGCAAATTTAAAGAAGAACTTAAAGCAAAAGCTTTGGAAGAGAAAGCAAAACGTAAAGCAGAAAGAGCATTGAACAGTGAGCACAAGAAGGAAAAAAAACAAAAGTTAGCAGCTTTGGCTGCATACATGAAGCAGTGGAATAAACCGAGAGAAGATCTCGAATGCGAAGATCTTTGTCCCATTCCTGAACCTACTGTTATTAAATGCAACATCCCAAACGAAAAATTTGGAGACTTTGTTATGATATCAGAATTTCTTGAATTTTTCAATGAAGAATTAGACGTATCGGTATATTTTCCAGGAGGTTTCAATCTCGAATTGTTGGAAAAAATATTATTGACCAAAGAAGCATCTGGTCCTTGGAGTGACCTGTTACAACTGTTATTATCAAATATATTTAAATATCAAACAGGAGAAGATAATGAAATTGATGCTCAAGCATCATCTACCTTGTTGGATGGTATTAGTCCTTATGAAGGTGCATCATCGATGGCAAAAGCAGTAAAACTTGCTACTATAGCTTCTAGATGGTGTACAACTTATCAGGGATGCAAACTATCAGAACTTACATTAGACCACATAACTTTGAGTGAAATTTTGAGACAACATTTATTAAGTTCTGGAGGACGCATAAGCGAAGCAGCTTCTAAGTGGCGATATTCTCAAAAGGGTGTGTATATGTATGATATATATTATTTAATTTATTTAATATTTAATGTTTTTCTTTTATAACATATTATCTGTTGTAGGTGGCTATACAAATTTTGACGAACCAGCGCTCCTTTTGAGAATAAATGATGGTTATCTTTTGCGATTATTAGGTCATCGAAATGTATGCGAACTTGATTTAGATGACAAAATAAAAATCGTTACATGTCTGATCAATCAGTTGCTTACTTTTGCATCAATACGTGATGCAATCGAAGAGCGATATGATAAATTACATCAAGCAAAAAAAGAGTTAAAGTTGTTCTTGCTTGCTGAACAAAAGAAAGAAAAAGAAGAAAAAGAAAAGATGCGGGAACGCGAGAAAGAAGGAAAAGTTGAAGAAGACGAACCAAAATTGAAAAAGATTACGCGTGGCAATTATGAAGAAGAAAAGAAAAAAGAAGAATATGAAAACAAACTTAAAGAATTGCAGCAAGCATCAAGGGATGACAAGATGATGCTTTACCTAGGCTCAGATAGAGCTCATCGAAGATATTGGAGATTTATATCTGTACCAGGTATGTTTCTAAATACATATTTTCATAAAATGTTAAATAGAAATTAAATGGGAGAGATTAAAAATTGAATTAAAAGGAATTAAATTTCTATTGATTATCGATTTTTTTGTAGGATTATTTGTAGAAAATGATGAACGCTGGCCTGGAAGTTGTCTTTCTGAGGGCACTCCACACCACCCAGAATTGCAAGATAAGGAGGCTACGTACGCATATCTAAGAAATAAATTTGAGGATGAATTTAGTGACAAAGAGAACAGTTTCAAAAAATCAAAGAAGTCACCGAAGAAAATTCTGTCTTCGGATAAAAACGGAGTCAAATCGCCACGCAAGGAAACAAATTCTCGAAAGGAATATAAGCAAGATCTCATTAATATTAAAAAGAACTTAGTACTATGTACAGGAGATAAAGATTGTCCTGTTCATTGCAAAAGATCACTGATTACCTGGAGCTTTTATGGAAATGCAGAAGATATACAAGCACTAATAGATAATTTGAGTACAAGGGGGATCAGAGAGAGCGAGCTTAGAAATAATCTTTTGCAAGAGATGGACAATTTGCTTCTTGTTATCAATGATTGTCCTAAATACAGATTAAATCCTGATGTTGTAAGTATATAATTTTGTATAATTAAGTAGATATACCTATATATCTATATACCTATATATTTTCGTACTACATAATTACATGCGATTAAAAGACGTAAAAAATAAATAGATTTTCACGTGTAGTTTTCAGATTCCAATAAAGGTCAGACCAATAAGATGAATAAAAAGAATAAATACGAGAACGCGAATTTGAATTTTCCTTCAGATGTGGCGGTCGACGAAGTAATGGAAATGACGCTGAGAGATCATATTTTAGATTTTGAAGACAAAATCAATGCAGGTTGTTTGGGATCTCTTAAGATTATCGATCGCACAGTCTGGAGAAACGCGATCAATAAAAGAAGTTATGACAAACAATGTGATAAACTGATGTGTGCGGGTAGTGAGATAGACATAGATATACCACCCTCTAATACATTGATAGATAAGATAAAGAACGAATCTAAACATAGTAGACCCGGTACTCCCGATTCCGAAGTCGGAAGTATTAATATAAAGACTTATATAGATCCAGGAATGTACTTAGGTTTACCCAGTGAAGATGAAATGTCTATCGATCAAAAACAACAGGCGGCTATCAAGCAGATGGCTTGTGCTATTTTACAATTGTCTCACGCTATAGAACAAAGATACTTGCAGAGACCGCTCGGACCCGATCAGAAGGATAAGAAATGGTCAGGTGAAGAGGCTCGAGAGAGATGGGAACAATCATTGATAGCGTCGACCAATTGGTCTCAGTTATTCGTTCATTTGAGTACTTTGCATAATAGCGTCGCGTGGCACAGAAGCGCATTGAATGCTCAATGTCGCATATGTCGAAGACGTAGAGACGCGGAGAACATGTTGCTTTGTGATGGATGCAACAGGGGACATCATCTCTATTGTCTAAAGCCAAAACTTAATGTAATTAATAGTTTACATTGATTGATTAGATAGATCGATATTATCATTTCGATCTTATTTATTATTTTGTTTATTTAGGCTGTACCGGCAGGAGATTGGTTTTGCACAGCGTGTAGACCACCGGAGATAAAACTCAAGGAAAAAGCTCAAAAACGGAAAAGATTCGAGGATGAAATTGAGGATGAAGTAATACTGACCAAAGAGACGCGACACAATCGGGCGAAGCGCATACCTCAAAGCGATGATGAAAATGATCAAGAAGACGATGAAGATGATGAAGATAGTGAGGAAGATATGTACGTTATCTTTTTATAATATTAACTTTTATTTTTATTTATTTATTTTTTTTTTTTTTTAATTTTTTAACTTGTGTGTTTTTGATTTTCCTTTTCAGAAATATGCGCCTAGAAAACTTATGCGCATTGTGTAAAAGTGGTGGAAAGGTGATCTCCTGTGACACATGTCCAAACTATTATCATTTAGAATGTGTAGAACCGCCGTTATCGAGAGCTCCTAGAGGAAGATGGTCTTGTTCTAAATGCAAGCCTAGAAGAAGGAATGTAACAAAAGGTAATGGAAGATCTTAAAAATCTTGTTCTTCTTCTTTCTATTATAATTGAAAATTTTTCCAATTTACTGCCTCTTGAAGTTGTAGAAAGATAAAAGTTGTGGTAAGAATATATTAGAAAGTTTCTTAGCGTTAAAATTATGTTAATAGTGAGGGGGCGTGAAAGGGAAAGAGACAAGGAGAGGCTGTGCGCAGCAGCAGCACGCTCTCGCATCCATGGCTTTGCCAAGAGCCTCCTCACTACAGAATCCACAGACTGGGATGGTCTGTATTGTATCCCTCTCTTTTACTGTGTGTATACGTGTGCAGCATCTCCCATTCATGGCTAATTCTTTCTTTTTTTGGAAAGCACTGCACGTTAAAATAATGGGTCTGTTCATTGTTAATTTATCTGGATATTTTTCATAATTTTGTACTATTTTGAAATATATGAACAATAAGGTATTAGAAATCACTCCCTCTATCAATAAGTTTTTAATAATACATCAATAATTATTTCTCTTTTCTATTAAAATTGAAATTTATTGTGTGGACAGACCCTCTAATATAGCATTATACATCCTTATACATATAAATATTTGATTTTATCATGGCAATGAAACTTCTGTTGCTAACTCATATATCATAAAAATGTCAGCTATCAATAGAATTCTTATTTTTTAGCATAGGCTTGTAAATTTAACATTGAATTGAGATAAAAATATAATATGCATTAGTTAAATATAGAACTTTTAAATGTACAGATAGCAGCGCATCAGATGATACCGAACCAAGACAAACACGACGTGCGACAAAAAGGGCTGCCGAAATTGAACACGAGGAAGATAAAAATTCGATCAAGGGATCTATGGCTAAACTGCAAGAATTATTGACCGATATTAGGCATCATAGAGATTCATGGCCGTTTTTGTCGCCCGTCACAAAGGATGAGGTCCCAGATTATCACGATATCATTTCTAATCCGATGGACTTTGGAACAATCAAATACAAACTCGGTAACGGCGATTACGAAACGCTAGATAAATTCTTTAGCGATTGCCAGCTGATTTTTGAAAACTGCAGATTGTACAACAAGGAACATAGTTCTGTTTACAAGTATGTATCAACATTTTTGTTATTTACTTCACACAAGTTCGGATGCCAGAGATTACAATATTAATTAATATGCAGGATAATTAATTTATTTACTTCACGCTATTAACAATAGTACACATACACAGGTACATATATTTTAATTAACATTATACAATTACTAACAACAAAAGAATAAATTAGCATCTCTATATCAGTTTTTGTATCATTTGTATATACTAACAGCTTGACACATAGGTAGTTTTTAAATGATTCAAGTTAAATTGATAGAATATCACAAATATAAATCTACACATATGGTGTTTAGACATATAGTTGGATAAAAAAGAAAAAAATTATTACACAAAATGCTAGATTATATAAAAGATTAGATTATTAAATGTAATTATTTTTGATTATTCAGGAAAGGAATCTCTCTGTTCTTACATCTGTTTATAAAGCTTATAAAGTGCGTTAATTCTGTAACCTTTATATCCCAAATAAGGCTTCGCTGTTGTGTTGATCTTGAAGTAATCTTTGGCCTCCGAACCATTTTAGGAATACATATATAAAGAGCGAGACTATGTTTTGTTAAAAATAGTTACGTGTACAGTGCAGGTATGCGATTACGCAAGTACTTTGAGAAGCGCTGCAAGGAATTAAGTTTGAATTTCAATGAACTTTCCCAAGAATCCAAAGTTAAGAGAGCAAGATTTGACGAAGATAATGAAGAAAATTGCACATCGGATAGCGAGGACGAAAGCGAAGCACAGAAGAGAAGATAGAATAAAAAAGATATATATATACTTTAGCATAGAGTGCATACTCGTGAGATTAAAAAGTCTGGTGCCGCTCAAGAAGTTTATATATATTTTGAACTTAACATATGGACTTACATACCGATAATCGATCACGAGCGGTATACAGACTCAGTATGTAGCTCAAAATATTTTATAAATTAAATACTTTTTTTCACAGTGAGAAATGAGAAATTATATTGATAATAACTCATGGAATAGTACAACTGAATGAAAATTACTTTGCAAAATCGATGGTATTATATATACTATAATAGTATACAATGATAAAGATCTTTTTTTCTTCTCTAAAGTCGGTTTTTTCGAGGCTTTTTATAATAAAGATGTATGCAGTATTATTTGCAAAAGTGCATATGCATAATAGCACTACATATAATTTTAGATGCATTGCACACAAGTACACAGAGTTTTACAGCAACATATATGCTCATTAGTTTCATTGGCTTCATTTAAAAAAAAAATTTTTATAGATATATATAGATATAAAAACAAAAAAAATTTCAATATATATTCTCACATTGATAATTATTTATTATTTAGTGTTATTTACGCATACGCATTTTCACACACGCGCGCGCGCGTACATATCCACTCATCCACTCACACACACACACACACACACACACACACACACACACACACACACACACACACACACACAACATAACATCAATACATTCTTTACAATAGTTGATTAAGGATCGTTAACTATATATGATGAATCATAAATTTTATCAATTTTTTTTTCGAAATCTGTTATATGCAAGATTTAATTAAAATACAATTTTCAGGAAAATGCATTAAATCAAATGCCATTAGCAAATTTATGTTTGTAGATTCAGACAATAAAATTGGATACTTTTGTACTGCGTGTTCTATATAACTATTGTCAGGCTAAAAGTTGTTATATCAATTTTGCCCATTTTTTATGAAAATTCTTTTTCCATCAATGGTACTTATTTTATTCCATGTATCTTTGTTTTGTAATGTTTTACGCTTTCAGGATAGAGTTATGTAAAAGTATGGTACAAAATACTATCGATTGTACAGCATTTGCAAAAGGAAAAAAAAAATTTCTTTTTAATCATGTATATTTTATACGATTATTTTGATAATACATAAATCTTGAATAAATTTTTTAAAGTAGTCTTCTCTGCCTTTCCTGCAAATTATCTTGCATAATAAGATTTATTTTTTCTTTCTAATTATATATAGACGTTACAGAGGTTTTTTTTCTCTTGTACATCTTTTATCTTAATGTATAATTTTCTAACAATTGTATTTCCACTTTAATGATGACCAGTGCCCTCAAACATATCTCTGTGAATTTTTTCCCATTTCTTGACATTCTCGGGACTATATGCTGGAAATAGTGATAACAGATTATATATATGTATTCCATTTGAACAATTGCTAACCTATATAAAATATACTTACATAGCTTTTGTATTTTGTAAAATATCGGAAGTGATATCAATCCAGCAATTAATGTATATTTAAAAAACCAACTGTTCTGAACATAATATTTATATGGAAATTGAGAAATCTTTCCCAAAATAGTGTATGGATATCTCATTGGTCGATATTGTGTGCCTTCAGACATGTTGATTGCTGGAATAAATTCCAATTGATGTTTGTTTTTATTTATATTTAATAATGTGAATAGACGAGAACAAGAAATAACAATATCGAGAGATTATTATTAACAAAAAATTTGTATGTCAAGTCTAATCAACTGTATAGATTACGATATTTTAATCAAAAATTATATAAGAAAAATTTTTGTTATATATCCAAATAAGAAATACAAAGTAGAGATTCAACACATGATTAATATATATGTAATAATATTAATATTGATAAAAAAGAATAGAATAATGATTACAATTAGATATCACAATTCTAACCCTTGAAGACAAATGATGGACTATGGAAATTTATAATAATAATAATATATATGGAACAATCAATATATATCAAGTATTTATTTATCTTCTAGTAATCCGTTTAATAGTATCTTTAAACTACTCACGATATTTGATCCGAGTGACTTTTTAATAAAATTATATAATATATTTAGTAAGTTTTCAGAGCACAATATGCGACGACCACAAAGCTGCCAGATCTCCCCCGCAAGCAACATGCAACCCTTGTGGAGGGGATAACGGGGATGTGTGCGTAACGTACGTGTGAGCTCGGAGATGCGCCGAGCTCACACGTACGTTACGCACACATCCCCGTTATCCCCTCCACAAGGGTTGCATGTTGCTTGCGGCGGAGATCTGGCAGCTTCGGACAACCATAGATAAAACGACTAGCATGAGTGGAAACTTAATTTTATTTTCAGGCAAGATAAAATAGGACAATTGCGAACTACGGATTGGCTACGCCATATTGTATTGTTCATCCCGATATTCATACGCAAGGATGTGCATATAGGAATATACGATAGACAATTACTTCAATAAAACAAGAATAACGTTCAAACTGCGAAAAATTTCGTGTTTGTTATTTTTAACAAATATATACAATCATTTACAACAATCAATGATACCAATTAAAAGTGGAATCAAAATCGGAAGTTTTTTTCTTTCATATTTTTGTATGTAATTGCCAGCAATTTGATCATCAAATTATTGTAATATAAGAAAATAAAAAACAAGAAAAAGACAAAAATAAATTTAGTCATTATGAAAAAAAAAGAATATGTGAGATTAAACATGCACAGTGAAAATTCAATAATTCATATATTACAGAATGCTTTTAGAGATTTATTCCCTATGTAACATTCATTTCATCAAAGCGTGTACTACAGCTTTGGCATTCAATGACTTCAAATCCGTGTAAGTTTGGCCAGTTCCAACAAAAACAATAGGCTGACCAGTAATGTATGTCATTGTGATTGCCGCGCCCACCTACAAATAATATTTATGTCTGTGAAAAACTAATATAAATGCTATTAAATATGAAAATTTGTAGATATGCAAAAAAATATATTTGTTACACATCTCACTATTATATGCATAATAAAACTTAATCTTATAATATGATATAAATAATTTGTGTAAAATTATAAATATCACAATTATAGAAAATATTTTTCAATTGTGTATCCATATTTCAAAAAAACTTCAAAGAGTTTTTGAAGAACAAGATAAGAAAAATAAATATTATAATATATAGAAAAAAATACTCACCTTGTCATCAATTGTATCAAATTTTGTCAGTACAATACCATCGATAATGTGAGGATTAGCGGACTGACTGTAGTCAGCTAAGGCCTGATTGAATTTCACAAGCTGATCAACAGCTTCATTACCGACGAGAGCTTCTCCAACAAATAATACCAGATCCGGTTCGTTCACTTTTATCAACTTCGTCAAGGCTCGCATTAGTGGTTCATTATCTTGCATTCTACCAGCAGTATCAACTAGGACTATATCGATCCTAGAATCCTTTGCAAAGCGAATCGCCTCCATGGCAATACCCGCGGCGTCCTTGCCATAACCCTTTTCATATAGCTGCACCATTGACTGATTTCTGTGCTTCTCTGGTGGATGTAGAGCGTTCAGATGTCGCGTATGCGTTCTCAGTTGTTCCACTGCTCCAGCTCTAAAATTATTATATTACTGAAATTATGTATTATATGTAGTGCTATATTATCTTTAAAAGCTGCTGGCAGAGAGGAATACACGACTGATTGCCTGCAGTAAAAATAATAATGAAAGGTATATTATATTAATCTTGGATATTTCGATTTACCTGAACGTATCGCATGCAGCAATTAATACGCGGAAATTATTCTCTATCAGCCAGAAGCAGATCTTTGCTAAATTCGTCGACTTGCCAACCCCATTGACCCCACAAAAAGTCATGACATAAGGTCTATTACTCTTCTTTGCTTCCAAAGCATCTCGCAGAATATCAATCCTTCTTTTGGGTGATAGTATCTGTACCAGGGCATCCGTCAGAGTAGCCTTTATAGTATTCGCCACGCTGTCAAAGGTACCAAGTACCTTTCCCTCTAGTTTCATGCCAACCGAATCGCATAATTTCTGAGCAATATCGGCAGCGACATTCTTAGTAATTAAGTGATCCTTCAGTTTTTCCAAGACTGGTAACATATCTTCCTGTTTTAGAGATTTGCTACCGACCAGACTCTTGAACATAGAGAACATACTCTTATTTTTTTTCTGCATTTGCAACTTGGAATGCTCTATCTCCTCTTGATCAGAATTGTCTTCGGATTCACTGTCCACTTCGAGATCGCGTATGCCACCCTTCATCTGTCCAACTAGCTAAAAAAAAATGAAAGCATAAATAACAACTAAAGCATTCATTTTTCTTGCTAAAAATCAGTTATATATATGTATATATATTTCTTTCTTTACATTCATTTTACCTATTGTATGTATAATTATATTTTTTATAATTCATTATTGTAAGAGTTAATTTGTTTTATATTCGTTATATACTTAAATTTTTTTTCTTGAAAACATTAAAATTTAACTAAGAGATATTTAAAAAAATATGTAATCTTATGTAATAGCAATTTTTTACAATTTCTTATATTAATAATAGAAAATAAGGAATGAACTTTAATTAAAAATAAGGAATGAACTTTAATTAAATATTAAATAAATGCCAAAGAAAAAAAAATTACGGTTATATCAGCTGCCACATAATCGCCACTCTCTTCGGGCTTGTCTTTTGTTCGCTCCAATGTAGCAAGGTCCTTAGTTGTTCCACCTAATTCCCAAATACGCGGTTTCTTGCCAGCCTTTTCAGGTTTAGGACTTTTTCTGATATAATATTTATAATAACGTGTTATATTGTTATCTAAAAGATTACTTTTTCTAATAGATTAAGAAAATAATAAAAATTACTGTTTGTCAGCTTTCTTTTTTTGACCTGCCATTTTCTGAGCGAGTTTCATGCGATTGGCAATCAGAATTTCTTCATCAAGTTCTCCATTATGTTCTGCTTGCTGTTGCAATTTTTGCTTTGGAGTTTCTTGAATTTTTGCTATATATGATATCAGAATTAAAACATTTAATATAAAACAACTTCAAAATCATTTTTAAAAAGGCCACAAATTACATTTGTATTATTTGCATATAAAAAATAAGTTAATTAAAAAATAAACAGTTATAAAATGGTTTGTTATTGATAATAATTAAAAGAGAATAATTAATTAATTAAGAGAAAATAATTTTTCTTTGTAAAAAATAAATAAAAAACTTTAGTTTATCATAAATGTTAATTTTAAAAAGTAATTAATCTTAAAAATAAAAAAAATAATTATATCTTTCATTATTTTACATTTAAATGATTCTTAATTACTTTCATACACAAATTTTTCTATAATATAAATTGTTCCATGTACTTCAACATCTGATATCAATATATAAAAATTCCATTCCAATACTATCTTCATAAAAATAATAATAATTAAAGAAAATACTAAAATTATTGATGAGGTAAAATATCGAGAGAGAGAGAGAGATCGCATATTTTCATTCTTTATAAAATATCATATTATTATTTGTTTTATGAAAGTAATTGTTTAAATGAATTTAGACTGCAATTAGAGTATTGTAAAAATAATGTAAGTATAAATTTGTTTAAAAGTATGAATTTTGTTTTCTCATGTAAGTATCACACACATTCCATACAATAAAATACTATGTAAAAGTTTAGTAAATGCCACTTACTATGATAATTCCCATTAGAATTAATTGCCTTTTTCCTTTTACCTAGAAGCGAGGAAGACAATCCCCGTTTTTTATTAATGTTATTCAGATTGGAAAGAGAAATGTATAAAAAATCAAAATTTATATAATTTTATAGATTAAATCTCTTATATAAATTTATTTTTACTGTTTCATATTGTGATAAATAAAGCAGCATAATATTTTTATTATATATCTATTATTATACTATACTTTTTTTCATAAAAACGTTATACGAAATATTATTGTATAAAATTTTATTTTTGATATGATTTTATCTTTGAATTTTATGCATAGTAAATCTAAATAAAAGCAAATAAAACTCATTCTCATATTTCATTCACATTCTTTCTTTTTTTGTTTAAACTAATCAAATTTTTCATTCAGGCTTATTTTTTCTAAAAAGTAAAGCTATTTACAATTGTTATTGAATCCAACTTCTCATAAATTGTTACACTGCCAATGATCCAAAGGACTGTACCTGACTTCTTATCGTCTTTATCATCTTTTTTCTCAATCATACTGGCAACAGTTTTTTTAGATTTTTGACTCTCGTCGAAGGTGCGCATTTGCTTCGGTATTTTAGCCTGTGTGCGCGACCATTGCTCAGCCCGTTCGAGCACCACAGAGTAGGAATGTTCAAACTCGAAGTTGGTAAACCAATTCGAGCTTTCAAGCTCATTCTTAAAGCGATCTCTAAATTCTAGGTGAATATCGTTCAAAAATTTGTCCACATAAGATAATTGCAATATCTTCTGATATGCCACTACAAATACTAGTTCAAACTCATTATCAAGCTTGTACTGCAGTCGTAAGGAATCATGTTCAAAGGTATGATTGCCTGTACGTTCCTGAAAATAGATTTTCAAAAAACACTTATTTTATTGAGAAATATTAGGAAATTGGTCTAAAATACAAAAAATTTATTTTATATAATATTTAACTTAATTTAGCTTATTTTTTGAAAATAAATATATATATTATTGAATAGTTGAAAGATATAAATAATTGATAATAGTTTTTAGAGATATATAGTATTAATAAGTTTTAATTAAATTATTACTAATTTTCTTAATCCTTGCGATGAAGAAATTATTATCAAAAATAAATCTTTATTTATTCAAAGAAAAATATTTATTTTACACAATATCTTCTATATCTTTTTAAATTAATTTTTGTTTTATAAGTGCAAATAATGATATAATCTCTCATATGATTAGTTTCAACAATATCTCAACCATATGGTATATTTAATCTGTCTTGTATTTTTATCATATGTACACTTGCAAGTTTTAATAAATATCTACGTATTTTAAAACAATTTTTAAATGAATTACAAACAATATTTATTCCTTATATTATATTCAAAGCTGTTCACGTAAAAATTGAAGAAATAAAGAAAACCGAGGAAATAACAGAATTTGAAAACGTTAAAACCCACGTCTTGCAATTTCATAAGACAATTGAAATTCGAGTAATTAAATTTAAATTTTTAGAAGATTAATTAAATAATTAAGACGTGAGTTTGAAAAAATTGGAGGAAGGTGACAATCCGCAATTCGGGGTCAAAGGTCAACAGACGTGGAAAAAAATGCACATTTTGAAACTTGCCTGCAATATGACACCTCTTATCAGGGCATTGACGCTGGGCGCAAAAATCTGAGACGTGCTCTGGAAGCACCAGAGCACTATACCGCCCTTGCTGAATATCGTGAAAAGATCGAGCATGATTTTACAATATTTTCACAAGAAAGAAAAAAATACACGTTCCTCGAACGTAATCAACACGACGTTTCGAGCTAACCTACTCTAACCTATCCAGTACCTGCGCTCATACGTCAAATCCAGAGTCATCAAACGTCAACTGTTGACGTCACGCCACCGAACTCTCCCTATATTCCTAGACACGATTCGTCCAATGAAAGGTACGCTCGTCCACGGTTGCGCAGTAGCCTGCCAATAAGAAGTCGCCTATATCCCTGAAAAGCAATATGGTTACCAATAGCCGCCAATCAGAATTCTTCGACGTGGGTTGGCAGGACTGCACCGAGTTTGATTGAACTGCTGCGAATTACCTGCACCAGTCGATGCATCGGATTCATCAATAACGGTCGTGAAAAGTTCAATCGGTTCGCGATTAATAGAGCGTAGGATGTAGTGCCCGTGTAAACAACGTTCATTAACAAGGCCCACTGGATTTACCTTCAGTTGTGAGTAATATCATGTATTTATTATTTTCCTGATAAGGTTTATGGCTAGGATTTTTGCTCGATCCACAGTTGATAAACACGCATCGTCCATGGCGGCACGATTACACCTCGCATATTTGCACAATACGCTCTGGTTTCACCGTCTCGTCTTGATCGAAAATCGAAAATAAGCTGTCCAATTTCGATTGAATTTTAATACCACGCGAAAATAAGGGTCGACGATCGTTCATTGAACATCAGCCTCTTTATACTCGCGCGTCTGTAACATTCATATGTGAATTCAGCGAAATTATAGGCGATTCTGAACGCCTGCTTTTATAGCGTAGTTTTTTTAGAGGCATGTTTAAATTAAGATATTAAAATTATATTGAAGGCTTTGATATTAATGCAATCATAAAGCAAAATTTAAATTATATCCAGATTACCCCTACTATTTTTCTTTTAATTTTTAAAGATCTCGCTTTAATACTAGAATCATGAAACAAATGACTTTTATGAATGTTATATTTGAAAATTATTGTTTTTTTATGTCTTTGAGATACATTACACATATAAGATTATTTAAGATAGAGAGAAACAGTATATTGTTTCATTTTCTGATTTCTCCAATCACATGAGTCACTTCTCGACTTATTAGAAGTGATTGATATAAATTAGTTTTATTGCTAATTTGATTCTATTTGCGATTGAATTATATGTGATATTCTGCATTTCTAATGCTGTTATATGTTGCAAAAATTCTTGTGTGACAGTTTGTCACACATTTGACGAGCTAAAATATATCACAATCTTTTACGGTTGTTGCAACTCGTCAACTATTTTGTTAAATTTTTATTATATTATTAAATGTGCTGAAAAAAAACTAAATTGCATTTAAGATTTAATAAGATTATATTAATAAACTATATATCTGATTATGCACATAATGTATAATTGAAATAATCTGATACATATATATGATCTTATATAATTTCTGTTATAATTTCTATATTAATGTATGATATCAAAAAATTAAGATATTTTAATTCTAATGATTCTAGATACATTATCTGATATCCAATGGGAAAATTTGTTTTTTTGAGCCAAAAATATGATTAGAAATTCTAGAAAACAGATTTTTCAATTGGTTACTGAATATGTTCCAAAGAATCATCAGAGAAAAATATCTTAATCTTTTTGGAGTCAATTGTATACTATATATACAGGCTGTTTGATTTCTATAGAATAAATTTCTATAGAAATTTTGCTGACATATTTTATCAAAATTATACTAATAAAAAAATGTTATTTAAATAGAGGTCTATAAATGCATTCTTTCAGGTTACAGACATTTAAATTGCATTAAGTATTATTGGAAACATATACTACAATATCTAAATAAATTATCAAGTGTATAGACATTGTTCAAATACTGTAGTACTACTGTAGTAGAATTAGATATCAAATAATGATGAGAAATAATAGTGTTTTTAACACTATGTTCTCACAAGTATTGTATGTATTGTTATTTGGTATCTATTTTTTATTTAACTATGGTGTTCAAGCATTGTTATAGTGATTAGTTTATTCAGTTTATTCAAATATTATAATCTTTTTGCAAACTATAACCTGCAATTTAAAAAGAATACATTTGTACGACATTTACTTACAATCAATAGAATACATTAATAAAATTTATTCAGTTTCTTTAGAAACATTTTATAAATATTTGGAACATTTACTACAATTTGAGAGAGAAGAAAATGAAAACATAACATTATTACCATATATATTATCATATTCTTTGATAATATAATTTAGAATATATAAATTTATTTAAGTAATAATTAGGAAGATCATTATTTATATAGGAGATGTGCGTCACTTAACATAAGAATAACAAAATATTTCTATGCCACATAAATATATGGCATAATAATGATACAATTTTATTACAATTTCCTACTATGCTTTTTAAAACTGTTATTTGTTAACATTTTGCATGAAAAATTATCAAGTGCATTATAAAAATACAAAGATTGTATTAACACATGATATATTTGTCAATTTGCTACATTAGACATTGCAGATTTAGATTACACATTTTCAGACTTTTCTTTGTAAAGAAAGTCTAGTGAATTCTTTTTACTCTGCGCTACATTTTATTGCATGATCCTCTTGATACATTGAACAATTGGATTACAGTTTGAAGATTTTGTCAGATTGTACTTCTGACATAATATATCATAAAATCAACAAAAAATGCGAATTTTAATCAAAGATTTATTGATGATATTTATAGTGATAGATATTTATTTACACTTACATATTTTTATATATCTATTTAGAAAGATGATATTATTATGAGACTTGCAAAAGTCTTATTATCATTTTGGCAATTTTTCAAATTGCATTAATTATAATGCAGTTGGATATCTCATACATTATTATAATATATTAAATGTATTTTATGTACATACATACCAAGTTTTATATATTTTAAATTATATATATGTATTATATATATATATATATATATATATATATATATAATTCTATGAAATAATTATGCATATATATATATATATATATATATATATATATGCATAATTATTTCATAGAATTATTTAAAATTTAAAATTTCAAATATATAAAACATTGTATATATGTACATAAAATACATTTAATATATTATAATAATGTATGAGATATCCAACTGTGTGTGTGCATTGTAATTAACAGTTTGAAACATTACCAAAATGATAATAAAACTTTATATATATGCATAATTATATCAAAACTATATGAAAATATTGTCTTTACTTATAATATCAAAAGATATGGCAGTGTATCTATTTCAACGAATTTTGCAACATATCAATATATTCTTGTTTAATATGAAAATATATTTCTAGAAAAATATACATAAAATATGTATGTATGTATGTATGTATGTATGTATGTATATTTATATATTTTATTTTCTAGAGGTACATTTTTATATATTTATAAGCAAGAATATAATGATATGTTACAAAATTCGTTGGCGTTAAGAGATACGCCGTCATATCTTTTGATATTATGATCAAAGAAAATATTTTCATACAATTTTGATATACATATATATATATATATATATATATATATATATATTCATAATCATTTTTATTATATTTAATTATTGCTTTTATGTAAGAAATAAATTAGAAAAAATTACAAAATATATGTGTGTTTGCAGCTGCATTGAATAAAATTCATAAATTTTTTTTAAACACCAAATAGCCAAAATCCTAGAACGAACTACGGCGTTTAGAGCAAGTCGCTTGCTAGTCTGACAGGATTCAAAAATGCAAAATTGGAATCAATGGCAGCTGTCAGCTGGTGCTGTTACAACTCCAGTGCCGCAGCCACCAGTTGGCTATGCTGCAACAGCTGGTGCAGATCCTGTAACTCTGATGCAGAGTTATATGCAATATTATAATCAACCGGTAAGTATAATTTTAAATAAAGATGTTATTTTTTATACATGTATATATAATATAATTTATTATTAAATTGATTAAAAGAGTATTCTATATGTAATGCGTGTATTTATAATAGATAATATAAATAATATATAATAGATTATTATGCATATAAGAATAGTTTAAAAGTGAATTTAATAAAATAAATTATATTTTTTAATCTTTAATATTAGGTAGTGTAAAAGATTTGTCATTTACATTTTATTTTTAAATTATTACTTTAAAATTTTAGGAAAATTAAATTGAAAAAGTTTTTATGTGAGAAAAATAAGTAAGTTTTTAAATGAGAAAAATCAGTGATTAAAATCAGTGATTACTCTTTTTATTGATAAAAATCATTTTGAGATCTTATTTTCTCTCTCTCTCTCTCTCTTTTAATTTTTTTCTAATTATATATATAATAATTACGACAAATTTGCATCAATTAAAAAGCGTTTATATTAATTATCTATAAATGATTATTATTTTATAACATTAGCATAATGTGTTTGCATAATTTATTAGACACCCAGTGGATATTCACCAGAGCAATGGGCAGCTGCTCAACAGCAAGGTTGGGCTCAATGGCAACAATGGCAACAACAATACCAACAATGGCAAGCACAATATGGTGACAAGGTATAATATAAAAGAATATTATTATATAAATAATATTTAATAAAGAAATATATACATATAGATATGTGTATGTATAAGTATGAATATAAATGTAGAAATTATGTTAAATCTTTAGGAGAAAAATTTAATGTTAACAGTTATTATTTATTATTGAAGCATTTGTGAGAGATTTAATATTCTATCTCTTTACAACATATTATACCAAAATAATTTTGTTATATATTACTTTATTTTATTTATTTATTATACTAATACTAATGAAATTAATATGATTTAATTGAAATTTTGTGATAATTCTTTTTTTTATATACAATTCTTTTTTTCTCTTTTAAAACAGATGACAGATGTATAACGAACTTTCTTAAATAAAAATTCAAAAATTGAAAAGCTACATGAAGTTAAAAGATTTAAATAAAAAAATTTGAAACCCTATTTTTTCAGTTATTTTATATGAAAAAAAAATTTTATTAAAAAATGTTTTAATTATTAGAAATTGCATTAAAAAATGCATTAAAAAATAAAAATAATATTCTGGTAGAAAAACTTTGTAATGCAATACTTTTTTATAAAATTATTTTTTAAAAAGGACGAAATACACAACAAATTCTTTCCTTATTTGTTATATATTTTTCTAATCTTTTTCATTTTTCTAATTCTTTTATTATTTGATAGTAATATATAGAAATTCTATTTATAATTCTAAATATATTAAATCTTTTTTGTTTTTTTTACCGTATTCATACAAATAAGAATATATTTGATAAAAACAGTTTATAATAATATATTTTTCTTTTTTATATAAAATTATCTAAAAAGAAAATACAGATATATGTTAAAATATGATAATATACAAATGTATTTTATATATTCTATATTTATGTACATTTTTTTATTATTAACTAATGCAAAAATTGCAGCAATATGTTCAAAAAATGTTCTATATCTGTAAGGACATAGTTTATATTTCGACTCATTAATTTCTATCGCCAAAATTTTTTTTTTAGTATCAAGAAACAATGAAGCATTTATCTACACAGAATATGAGTTTGACAGGCCAAGTGCAAGTGCCATCAAACGTACAACCACCGCCTCTCCCCAAAGAGGATGTGCGACCTCCTTTACCCTCCGCTACCATAAATACATATCAATTTGCGAATATGCCACCTCCACATCAAAATAATCTTCCATTATTTCCCACGAAAGAACCTAATAAAACAATATCACAAGCAAATGTGACAAACTACCCTACGAATCCACCACTACCTACGAGTCAGCCACCTTTACCACCGGAAATCGACGAAAATAAGGGGAGTATTTTGATTGAAAAATGCGCTAGTAATGTAATTAGTGAATCCAATAGTGCTACAAAGTTAAAGCTCGAAAATGACGAATTGACCGAGGCTGAGAGAACATTTGATGAACAGTTTCAACAATGGGAAGAGCAATTTAACAAGTGGAAGCAGCAAAACGCTAATCATCCGGACAAGGTAAGTAATGCTATAATTTATATACTTGACACTTTAATGTATAAAATTTATTACAAAACATTTAAATGAATATTATTAAAGAGTTGTAATTTTATATACTTTAGGAGATACATTTTCGATGAATTTGATTTTTGTATACGTTAATAACAGATTATATACTTTTACTTAATATCAAAATATATGTGTACCTTAAGTAAATAAAAAATTTATAATTTTTATGAAGATTAAATTGTCATCCTTGATTTTCAGACTCAATATAAACAATACGAAGCAAAATGGACATCATGGCGCGAGAAATTGATTGAACGGCGCGAGCAAATGCGTAAAAAACGTGAACAACAGAAACAAGTCGCCGTGAAAGCAGAAGCCGAAAAGAATAAAAATATATCTGGCGATGACAAAATTTTAAATATCTTATCGAACACTGAAAATCAACGATTGATTAACAATCTGTTGGGTATCGGGCAAACGCTAGGTTTGACAGGAAAGCAAAACACCATGGCACCCTTACCACCCCCGCCGCCGCCACCTCCACCATTACCGGAAACTACAAATTCTAACAATGAATCTACAACTCAAGAAACGCAACCAACTTCATCGCAAGTAAACACGATTAGATCTAACATCGCGCCAGCTTGGTCCAACTCGCAACAATGGGGAAATCAGCAATATAATCATAGAATAGAAGCACCAGGATTCGGTCCTGGAACGTCTACAATACCCTTAATGTCTTCAGCACCAGATATTGGTCCATCTCAAATAATCTCACCAAATTTTGCACAACCACCTCCAAATCTAGCAAACAATCTCATGCCAAACTTTTCGCAACCTCCACCAAATTTCTCTAATAATGATCGACCGCAATTGCAAAATGTGAGAGCATCAGGTCCAGTAAATACGAAAGATTGTCCTCCATTTAGTTCGGCTGATTCTTCGAATATGGATATGCGTTTTATTCATCCAAACGATCGATTGTCTCATTTTGAGGGACAACCCAACTTTCGAAGAAGCGATCAGGAACGTTTCGGACGAGAAGTTAATATCAACCCAAATTTAAACGAACAAGATCAGTTTAAACCTACCGATGGTTTCGCTAGAAAAGGTGATAGAAGTTACAATGACGGAAATAATCAACTGAATTCACAAAATAATTTTAATATAGGTAACGAGCGATTTGGACTGCCAAATGACCGTTTAGGAAATGATCGTTTTAACAGAGAAAATAACCGATTTGGACCAATGGGAAACGACAGATTCTTATCAGGAAGTGATCGATTTGGAGGTCCAAATAATGATCGACTTCCAGGTCCAGGATCAGATCGATTCGGTAATGAATGGCTTGGATCGGAAGGCGATCGATTTAGAGCAGGAATCGATCGTTTCGGGATGGATAAAGATCGTCGTGGACCTACAAATGATCGATTTGGTCCGGATAATGAGCGATTTCCACCGGATCGATTTGCATCAGGTGCTGAGCGATTTGCCCCCGGATTGGGGACTGATCGTTTCTCCTCGGGCAATGATCGGTTCGGACCCAATACCGAACATTTTCGCTCGAATGATCGATTCAGCAAAGGTAATGTAGATTATTTTGATTCAAAGGACATTGCTGATCATAGACGAGATAGTTTTGGTATTCATCCTCGTGGTTTTAATAGAAATCCATCATTCAGCCCGCCGAATGAGCTATCGCCGGAGTTGAAAAAACTCATGGAAAAACGGAAAGCCGCCGGAGATGTATTCAGACCTAGTTTCATCGATTCCGACAAGTCCAGTAGTGTCGGTTCTCTCAGTGAAAGTTTTAAGAAGATTGCCGGTGATTCACCCTTTAAAAGCTCCTTTGATCTTCAAAAGAATCCACCAAATCGTAGTGGATTAATGAACTTTCTAAATAGTGGATCATCCAATTTTCAATTACATTCCGATTCAGGACAGACACCCACTTCATCATATGGTTTACGAGGTCATCCTTTTAAAAATGATAATGAACCTCCCTTCAGAGGACTTTTAGATAACTTTAACAAACATCCTAAAGATGATAATGAACGATCTGGGAAGGATATGGAGATTACACCGCATCTTAATCAATCTCAACCAATCAATATTCAATCTCAAGTTTCTGCTAAACATCCCGGAAACATTGAAACTACTGATTCTGATCTTTTATTACAAACTGGTAATATTGTAGATTCAAAAAATACAGAAACTATACAAACAAATGAGGCTGATGCTAATGAGCAGAAAAATATCGTTATTTCTGAAGATAGTTCGAAGAAGGATAACACAGAAGAGAACAAGCTTTTCAGCAATGATATTCTTTTACAGCAAGATGATAAGAACCATGATAATAATCAGATACAAAGTAATACCGAAAAAACAGAAGAATCTACTAATAATAACGATAGTGCTATAAAAAAATGTGAAAGTTTACCCTTCATGGGTGAAAATGATCCACGACCAGAAGATTTGAATATTGAACCACCGCCTGAACTGCCCAATTTGAGTCTTATTTCTACAAACTCCAATCAAAACGCACTCCTTAATCCGATTGAAGATTTTAATAAAAAGGAATCGGCTGGCAACAAATTCGATATGCGTTTTGATCGTAATTTTGGATTTAGAGGGGTGGATTTTAAATCTGGCGCACCGTTTGAACCTCGAGAATCACCAATGTTTGGTCCTAGAGGTCCTCACATGGATCCTGGTCCAAATACGTTTCAACCACAAGGTTCTATTAATACACAATTGGAGTTGCGAGGTTCTAATGACGGCCATTTCGGGCCTAATGCATCTAATGAAAATCGAATCAGTCCTAGAAGATCTAATGATGAACAATTTAATGAGCGAGGTCGTAACGAATCGTCTGAAGTGCTTAGGGAACAGTTCGGTTCACGAAATGCCATGGACGAGCAATTTGATCAATTTGGCTCGCGAACGCTAGGAAATGGAAAATTCGGTCTGGGCAGACCTACAGATCTGCAGTTTAGACCAAGAGGCCCAATTGATTCGCCGTTTGCTCCGCGAAATCCTGGTCCATTTGGTCCCAGAGGCAATGAAATGCAGTTTAGACCTAGAAGCATTAATGATCGTTTGGATTCTCGAACAATCTTTGAAGGGCCATTTGGTCCGCGAGGACTTAACGATGGTCCTAGAGGACCTAATGATAGTTTTTTCAATACTCGACGTTTTACTGATCCACAACTCGGTCCTATGGGACCCGGTCCTAACAGATTCGATAGAATGAATGAGGTACCATTTGATAAGAGACCTCCTTTCGATAATAGCGGAGCGTTTGGATTTCCTGGTGAAAGACCTCTTCGAATGCCCAATGAAGGACCACTTGGTCCTCTTAGTTCTAATGATATTCCGCTCGGTTCTCGCGATTCAAATGATGTTCTTCAGCGTAATTCGAATTTCAGCGAGAACCAATTCGAATCTCGAGATTCTAACGATGGATCCTTTGGAATGTCAGACTTCAAAGCGAGAGGACCAGTAAACGATAGCAACAATGCAAACTTTCCACCTCGAGGCGATCCTTTCCATAATCATGATTACATGCGTAGAAACCCTTACATAAGAGAACCTCCTATAAGAGAACAATTTGAAGATAATGTTTCCGCTAAGAAGATGAGATATGAAAGTCCAAAACCGGCTGATGAGTTTAATAGAAGTCGTCCAGGGGATGAGAATGTCAACATAGAAATGCAAAAGGATAAGATTACTGATTATGCTGGAAATATATCTAATGTTCACAAAAAAGAACTAGAGATACTTCGTCCAGGATACGGACCTAATGATACTTGGAATAAGTTTGGCAACGATCTAAGACCCGATGGATCGCAACAAAATGATAGCAATGTTCCAAAAATATTTGATGAGAAATTAAAATCGGAAAAGATCACAACAGAACCGAAGACGGTTGATTACAGATCGCAATATGGCGAATCTACGGCTAGTCCTGCGGACTTCCAACCGAAACATTCATCTAATTTGTTTATGAAGCGGTCACAATTGAGACCCGGTCAAGATTTTTGCGCGCAAAGACAGTTCAATTATAATCATGGCGAGATTAATAAGAAATTTGTTGAATCACTTAATTTCATCCCGATGAAGGTAATCGATTATGGACATGCATCTCGTCTGTCAATTATGGATCAGCATTTGTCGCCTGTTCAGTGCTTCGATTATGGTCACGGCGATTTAAAACCAGCACTACTAGATCGCGAACAGCATCAGCAACAGAATCCTCATCATTATTATCCGAAAAAAGATTTTAGAAACTGGGTCGAGAACGAACAAAATCTGAAGGAATATAATGAGACGATAAGCAGTTATAAGAAGGGAAATATGGAAAAAACTAGGAACTATGAGAACTACGATAAGCGTAGATCGACAGATTATAACAAACGAAAGGAACACGATTGGCAATCTAATGATAAATTGTACGAGGCAGAGAAAAAGGACAACGATGATCACAAAGAGAAAGGATACGATCCTGAATCGGAATCTCGATTCCTCGAACGTAATTCTGGTAATGATCAAAGCGATAGATGCATTCACAAAGGTAATTTTTTATTTCAGATAATCTCTTGTATTTAGATAATAATAGAATTCCGGCTATAACAATTAATCGAAATAATTTTCGATTAATTTTTGTTGTTTCTCTCTACTTTTTTATATCTATTTGTAATTACTCATTTATAATTACTCATATTTATACTTGATATAAATATATTAACGAAGCTTTAGCAGAAAAAGTTTCAACAGCGAACATGCGAGAAAGACTTAAGCAAAAAGCGAATCACAAGCATTTTCTTCGGTCCAATATAACATCAAGAATATTAAATTGTAATTAGTAGATTCGCTTACAAATTAGTGCTCACTTAAATCATTTGGTTTATGCCATTTGATTTTTTTGGAGAAGTGAACTAAAAATCATCTAAATTTTATTTTATTCTAAAATAATAGATATTATCTCAAACTGAGATATTATCTTAAAATACTTGACTAAATCTCTCTCAGTGTATTGTACTTTATTAGCATGTTCTACTAATCGAACTGATAAAAAAGTATTTGCAAACATAACGGACGACATGTAGAATATGTTTGTAAAGTTTGCAATGCTGATTTAGAGAATTCTGTTATTATTTGTAAATTACAAATTATATTGCAATATTAAGGCAAACAGCTTTTTATATTGAATCTTTATTCAGTTTCATTGTCTTGTTTCTTGAATATAGAACGGGTTCAAGAGATACGCGAAAGTTCTCGAAGAGAAACGAATAAAGACAATGACAAAGATGATAACAGGTATCGTGGAAACACTTTATTTTTTAAAATAATTGTTACGAATGCCTATTTTTTATAATAATTGTTATGACTATGTCGGCGAGACTCTCTGGATGCTTTGAAGCGTTTGATTGATCGATCAGATTAAAGAAATCTTTTTACTCTTTTTGTCTTGATTGTTCAATCAAATATTTCAAGAGCATCCGAAGCGTCCTTCCAACCGCAGTCTATATAATATAAAAATATAACTATATATTATATAGTTATCGTGCAAAATATATAATGTGTATAAAATGAAGCTTATGCAATATGTGTGTTCTGAATATATATGGCATTCTCTAGATCGAAAGGAAGTGTTAACTGGCAGGAGAGTTCGAACAAGAACGTCGTAGACACAAAACTACAAGAGACCAGGTATGTTATATTGCTTCTGAATCTATTGTAGAAGTTTTATTCTACAAGTTTAATTTCAAATATTAGCCAACAAAATCGATACATTCAAAAGAATAGCACTTTCTTAAATATTTTATAGGAGAAATTATGTTATATACAAAAAATTAATAAATATTATATATACACATATATAGGACTAGATGTATGTTATCTATTTTTTTAATAATATCAAACGTATACAAATTAATCCTATATAAACTTATTTAAAATAGGATAGAATTATAATATATATATATATTTATTAAATTAAAAATTATAATATTTATTAAATTAAAAATACTTTTTTCTCAAGATATATCCTGCTAACTTTTTATAGAATTTTTCGATTATATGCTATACATACAATATTGCGAACTTTTATGAGGATTTTTTATCATATCCTCCTATAAATATTGCGCATATGCGATTGTGTATTTGCTGCATGAGTCACGTATATTATTTGATTATAAATTATAATATAAGAGAATTATATGATTTTCGCTTCTGGCATCATAATAGAATATGACTTGCAATAAGTTGCAAGGAGTCTTGAAAGCTATTTTATTTCCCGTTCTACAATACTTTATAATTTATTGAAATGAATTACCTGGATATCCGGATTTTAGGATAATCAAGTAATAATTATTTCAAATAATTCGGATATATTCAAATATCAACAAAATCCGAATTATATTTTTATGGACATGATATATAGACGTAACAGATATATCAAATTTAGTATGTCTGTATTACAGTCATTTCGCGTAAATTTTTATTCAATTATGCATAGTCACCAAAGATTATACATAATGACCAATAATATTGGTTATTATAACAATCTTTTCTGATTTATCAGGTTCTCTGACTATTTTTTGTGATTTCTAATACACACTACATTTGTAATAAATGTGACAAACAAAGTTGGTTTAACGGTAATGAATACTTTTTCGGTAAAAATCTTGTCTATTTGACAAATAAAGCCATGCTTTCGTTAAAGCGAATATTATTTTAAATCAACATTTGTATTATGACTCACATAACAAGATATGCGCTTGTAATGCGCCATTTTTTATAATGAACATTTATATTTTATTGCTTATACTGTAGGAAATGCTCATAATTTTTACCTACAGTATTAGATATCTGTTTACATAGAATTTCTGATACTTTTATGTCTGACAAATTGAGTTCTCACGAACATTGTAACATGCCATTTTATATAAAACACATTCTTGTAACATGCCATTTTATATAAAACATGCAATCTGTATACATATATTTAATGTTTCATATTTTATTTGTGACTCTTTGATCTTTAAATTTGACTTTTTTGTAACAATTAAATAATATATATTAAACAGATTATTATATATTATTATTAATATATTAATATTATTATTCTCAATAGAGAGGATATATGTATTTTAATTGTTTATAACAGAAACATTATCACAAAAACTGAATTTTTTATAACAAATAATATAACAAATAATTGTTTTATTACGCTTACTTGAAGTATCTTATTTCACTATTTATAATGAATTTCTCATACTTTATTATTATTATGAGCTATTCATAATTTTAACTACAGTATCGATATCTTTACAAAATTGTCATATATATTTTATGTCTGACAAAGAGCATTCTTATTTATCTATTTGTCTTATAAATGTTACAATTAACATTTATTTGTTATATTAGATCAATCAAAATTTCGTTTTTTTTATTTATGCAAAAATAGAAAACGAATTTTTTGGATTAATCTGATATAACTTAATAATCATAAGTATGATCATAATAATCATGTGATCCATTTTATTTGAATTGAGAGACAAATTCTTGTTACAGTCTTCCCCTAGATACAAAGAAAAATGTTGTGGAATCAAAAACTCTTGAATTGGCAAAAATGCCAAATTATACGATGGTCGATGATCTATTGTGCCCACCGGGTCGCCAGAACAGACCATTAAAAATAGCTATTATTCTCAGAGGACCGCCTGGCAGTGGTAAATCTTTTGTGGCTAAACTTATCAAGGTACTTTAATAAATGCTTATATATTACATAAATTAATAAAAATATTAATTTTAATTTTAAATATTAAAATTTGAATATTATATTTTTTTCTGAAAGCTGTACATATATGTGTAATTTGAATATTTATTCGATTTTATTCGTATTATATATATGTACATTCTACGAATTTATAAAAACATAATTTATTTAATTAACTTTATTTTTTTCTGTGCAGGATAAAGAAGTCGAACAAGGTGGCTCTGCGCCAAGAATATTGAGTTTAGATGATTATTTCCTTGTCGAAAAGGAAATAGAAACTAAGGATGATAATGGGAAGAAAGTCACAGTTAAGGTACAACATTTAGCTTTATGATATAAAATAATTTCTTTAAAATTGACAATTGCTTTTATTTGGTGACTACATTTATATTATATAAAATTCATAATAGTATAAATAATATTCAATACTTTAATATAGGATGCATTAAAGATAGACATTAAATGTAGTAATTTCTCTTCATAATTCGTCATATGCTACATTTAAATTTATTAAAAATTTTAGTTATGAATATTATATAGGTATAAATAAATAAATATATATATATATATATATATATATATATATATATATACACATTGTAATCAAAAATAAAATTATTAATTTATATTTTCCGAAAAGAAATTCAGAACTTTGTGTAAACAACTTTCTATAAAAAATATATGGAAAAAAAGAAATGATAATCATTTGATATAATTATTAATCTCGATGAATAAATAAGATAGTATCTTTTTTTGTAAATATAAATCTGTCGGATACAAATATCATATAAACATTTGACAATTTGAATTTATTATTTATAACAGGAAATGATATATGAATATGAAGAGGCTATGGAACAGAGTTACATAACATCTTTAGTTAAAGCTTTCAAGAAAAATATAACAGACGGATTCTTCAATTTCATCATATTGGACTGCATCAATGAAAAGATTTCAGATTATGAAGAAATGTGGAGTTTCGCTAAAACAAAAGGCTTTAAAGTAATTATTTGAAATATAATAATAGAATATTTCAAAAGATATATAGAATCAAGAGAATATAAAAAGATATATAGAAGAGATATAAGAAATATAGAATGTTTCAAGAGATTATTGAATATATTTATCACTGTAAACTTTTCAATTTGGAATCAATCCTTTTCCAACAAAAGTGTCATAATATTTATAATCTATAAAATAATTAACAATTGGAAATAATAGCTTTTAAATTCTAGTTTCCTGAAATTCATATTTTCTTTGCTAATAGTAATAAGACAGGCGGATGGTGCTAGGATAGCTTCCAATATCTCCTAATTCGAAAATGTTCTTCTCTGATCTATCTTTGGTAACAATGATATTGTCTCTATAAAGGTATATGTATGTGAGATGGAAATGGATCTGCAAATATGCTTAAAGAGAAACATTCACAACCGTACCGAGGACGAAATTAATCGGATTATAGATTACTTTGAACCAACACCCAGCTATCATCAAAAATTAGATGTAAACTCGATGTTGCAAGAGCAAGCAATAGAGGAGGTAATTTTATTTATTTTTCTCAAAGAGAATGTATATGTTCCACGACAAAAGATTGTTCTATCATTTTTCATAATTTTCGAAATTAATAATTAATTTACGCCTTAATTACTGTTTTCATTAGCTCTTATTCTATTTGAATTTATTTATTTTTATATTAGAGCCTCTTTGTTTCTTATTTATTATAAAATTAGAATTTTAGGATAGTATATACATGAATTGATATAAATTAATGATATTAATACAAAGTATGTCATTATTTTGTCATAAAATATATATCTGTAAATTGTATTTGTAAGAGAAACACTTTTATTAAAGGTCGATATGGAGGATAGCGAAGAAACACAGGAAAAACCTATTATACAGAATGAAGATAGTCAAGACAGCCATGAGGACGCCCAAGATACGATTGTAATTAGATGAAATTAATATTTCTATATAAAGAGCTAATTCGTTGTTAGCGATATTCAGAAAACATCAAAATCTTATTCTTATTTTTGAAAGTCTTTCTAGAATATTGTATTTATCCATATTAATCTTTTACTCATAAATATATTAATTATTGTTAGAACAGAATGATCAGACATCGCCATTGTATTATACAGAGATTTAAGATAAAATAATTATTAATTTTAAATTCTCAAATATCTTTCAAAAACGAAACTTTTAAAATATTTTATTCTAAATATTTAATTATTGTCATTTATTAAAATCTCTTGTTAAGGTTCTAATAACAAATCATTGTAATATAATTTTATTCTACAATAATATGTTTGATATATATGCACATATACATATATATATATATATATATATACACACACATACATTATTGTTGTTTTAGGGTGTTAGCAAATGGGAGAAAATGGAAGTTGAAGATAAACTGGGTTAGCTAATTTAAATTATTTTATACATATTAACCGAGATTAAATATGTTTATATTTTATTGCGTATTTTTTCTAATTTGGATAATAAATATATTTTTCATTATTATTAATTATTAATATATTTTTCTTTATTTTTTTATAATGCAGATCGATTAGATGGTTTAGCAAGAAAAAAAAATGAAACAAAACCTCAAACAATGGAAGATTTTCTTCAAGTTCCTGATTATTATAATATGGAAGATACATCTGGTAAAAAACGAGTATGTATATTTAGAATATATTAAAACAGCTAATTATCCTTCAAATCATAGCTTTTTTACCAATTCGGAGATGATTTTATCTTGCTAAAACTTTTTGAGAATATTATTTAATCACTTGCATTATTCCAATTTTTTGCATTATATTTGTTCATAATTCAACTTTAAATCAAAATTTGGTTAAAGTTTCCTCTTGTTTCTCACTATAACTGTATTACATTAGAAATGAAAAATTATGAAATTATTTCTTCTCATATATATGAACAAAATAAATTCAAATAGTTACTATCATTGTATTTGATGATTTGAAAATATATCAAATGGATTTGATGATTTGAAAATATATCAAAAGCTTTTTTTTTTATACAATTATAATTAATTGACTATAAATTAGTTGCCAATAAAATCTAGTTTTGTTGAAAATGTACATATACAAAATACTACTGCAAGATAACAAAAAAAAAGAAAAAAATTTCTTCATTTTTTTGCATCTCAATATGATTACAACAAGAGTCAGAAATTTCATATATAATCTTTTATTTGCAAGGATCCTCACTTTTTTCTTTTATTTTTTACAGGTACGTTGGGCTGATTTGGAAGAACGTAAGGAACAGGAGAAAATGCGTGCCGTCGGATTTGTCGTTGGACATACTAATTGGGATCGAATGATGGATCCTACGAAAGGCGGAAGCGCTTTAACACGCACAAAGTACATATGATTCAAATTCATTTCTAGAGCATGTATCCGACGATAAAAATAAAATAAGATAGCGCTTATTAATCGCTTTTTCCACAAACTCCTTTCTTCCATGCTTTTTCCTTTTTTTATAAATTCAAATTTCGATCAAAATATATGTTATATATATATAGAAAAGAATATCTGTGATATTTCGCATATTTAAATATTTTTTCATAGCTTGATTATTCAAAAATATTCAGAAATTTTTTGCTTTTTTATAGTGCATATGTAATAAATAAGCATATAGTAATATAGATCCATATTTTAGATATATAGATTCATATATTTTTGAATTTGCTGCTAATGCTTCTTAGAGTTATAAAATAGTTTAATAAATAATTTTAAAAATGAGTTTATTGCTGTGTGTATTTCATATATATTGTTATATTGCTAAGATATTAATTATACACGGATATATGAATAATTATGTACAATACATAGATATAGATTTTATAATCATTTTATATACATTTAATCACACAATACTATTACATTCAATAGAATTTATAATAATGAAAAAGAAATAGAAAATAGGATAAATAAATCATATATACACACATATATATACACTGACTAAGCGAAATTATTTAGTGTGCATTAATATTAGAGAAAATATGAACATTTTATTTATATGATTATTATTGCAGGTTTTTCTCACTATCATAAAGAAATCGATAGTTTAATGCTGAATAATGAAAAAGAAGTGGAAAAATTGGCACATCCTACTTTTTAATATTTTATAAGCTGAAGTGTATAAAAAATAATTACTTATAAAATGATACAAATAGATTAATTTACTTTAATTAAAAAAGGAATAGAATTATTATGAAATTACAAAAAATAATATTACAAGTTTAATATGTTGAGATAAGATTGTAAATTTTGTATATAATGCTGTAAATGATGTATTTTGTATGTATGTGTATGCGTGTAGATGAATGCGTGTTTACATGTTTATGTAGAAACATAAGATTTGACATATAAGAAAAATGTAAGAAAAAATACAAAACAAGAAAAAATAAAAAATATATCTCCATTATTATATAATATAAAATGTGTAAAAATTATTTTAATAAATTATTGTTAATTTTTATCTTTTAATTATTCTTAATTATATTTTTAAAATTTTACTAATTTAAAAAAATTGAATTTTTACAACTAGAATTTTTTTACTCGAATTTTAAACTTAATATTTTAGGAATTATTGGAATTTTAATTAATACCGTTTCAGTACATTATTCTGTATTGTATATAGACGAAATGAATATATTAAACTTATTAACATATTTCTCTTGTATCTTGGTAAATAAAAATAAAAAAAATATTTTGTCATTTTTTTTTTAATTTGATGATCACATTAGGAAGATGAAAATTCCTTAATATATAAGCAACTGTTTTTACGTTTATTTTGATATCGTTCAGAGCATTTGTATTTGATATAAATCACAATAAAAACATTTATCTATACTATTAACATAGACAAATATCGTAATTGCTTAAATACAATTATCTTCATCTTATTCATTTTTTATAAAGAAAAGTGAAAGAGTGTATTCCGAATGTATTTTAATAATTAAAACAGATTAAAAGATTTAACGATAGTCTGGAAAGAAGATATATCACAATATCATTATACTACTTTAGCTATATGTTTCTTTAATATCGCATAACATCAACTATTGACCATCGATTATTTAATGATACAAGTTTTGTCTACATTTTATTATTTAGGAGGGCGACGATTATACTTTGTTTCTAAGATAACATATACAACATATATACATTAACATTATTTCTCACGGGACCATAAGTCATGTATATCCATAGATACAAATAATTATATATATTTATATGTATATTGTCTGTGTGTATATATACATATATGTATATATATATATATATATATATATATATATATATATATGTATATACAAAAAATTTAATTTTATTATATCGAAAAATATAATTATTATAAAACAAATATTTTATTGTACATAGGATAAATAGTATACATTTTCTATAAGACATTATTTCTACAAAAAACGAAAATATATATATTTATATATTTTAAATTATGTAAATTATGTATTAATGTAAAACATAAATAACTTTAATAGAGTAAATATTATTTTGTATAAATCTCAATTTTTTAATCAAGTTATTTTTGTACTCACATGATATTTGTAATAATCTTAACGATTAATTTTATGAAGTATTGGTGTTATAAAAACACTTATCGATATATTTAAAAATAATATTGCGAATTAAAGGATTTAATACTTTTAATGCAAATTATCTGTAGAAATTTCTGTAGAAAATTTAATGAAAAAAAGGAATAAAACATTAACTTATATTTTAAAAAATGGCAATTTCAAGATCTAAAGTGTAGTGAATATAAATTTATAGAATATCATTGTTTAATAAATTTGAAAAATAATCTCAATAAAAATTGAAAGTATTGCATATCAACAGCGTGTAACAAGATTTAAATAATATTTAAATGGTTTTCTTATATTATTCAAACTTATAACGCGATAAACTTTATCATACCATTTAAAAAGGAGAATATTAACCAATTATGAAGATTTTATTGATAATTTTTTGAATTGATTATTTTAAATTATTGAATGTGTATGTGTATGTGTATGTTCTCACATATTTAAATCGGAGTGTTGTATTCTCATATCTTCAACTCATACCTTCAAATTATTCAACAGTTGTACATATAAATTTTTATTTTATTTACATAAATTGTAAGGTCAATTCAATATTGAGCTTAAAAATTTAATTTTTCGAAACATCGTCTAATATTATACTCAATGTTAAATAACTTAATAAACATTCCTAATAATCATCGTGCACTTTTTGATGCTCATATAAATAAACAATTATCTCTCCTTCTATCGATATCTCATTATTCTATTCTTAACATAATTTAATATACTTATAACTTATGGTCCATCCTATAGAGAATCTACATACATATTACGCGCAACAGACTCACGAAATGTGTATTATGTAATTTTATATATGAACAAAAAAAAATCTGGACTTTTCCACTTCCAACAATTTCTTTAAAGCTATGTATAACAGTAAGAGATAAATAATCATATTACAATAGGGACGTGTACACGAACATCAATGACGAAATTAAACGACAAACGCAGCGAAATAATCTGCGAGACAATACACACATGCATATATTTATAATTTATACTTATATATACGTATATACATAGGGGCATTATACATAACAGTATATATATAACAATATATTATATATACATATATTGTTATACATATATAACAATATAATTCCTGGTCCAATGAATATTAAGTATTTGTGTAAACGGATCAGCGTGTTCCTTATATATGTACATACAACACGAAAGTCGCGAAATTTCGTATCGAGACTCTATGGCCTTCAACGTAATTTATTGTCGAAGATTGATTCACAGCTAAATAACGATTAATATATTTTATTTCATTACGAGACAGAGATTTCAATATTTCGACGGGTAAATTTTCTTTAAAATTATCGCAGATTTGTAGATAAATTTTTGAACTACTGTGTACAATACATCGAATTATAAGTGAATTATACTCACTCGTTTACATGATATCACAAATTAGAGATACACAGAGTTCTATATTAAATAAAGCTACAAAACTACGTGAATTATTTTTTGGAGTATATTATTAATAAAATAATGTTGAAAAATTATTTTAATTGAAGATTAAATTAATATTTCTCAAAATTGATGCCGTCAATATCGATGTTGAAGACTTTAATTGAGATATGTATCGTAGGATTCCGATATGAAAATTTTATGTAATAAAATAAAATTAAAAAATATAAAATTGTTTACATAGATTAAATATAATATAGAGAGTATTATTATAGTTTTATCATAATTTATTTTTAAAAAACACGTAAAACATTAAAAATGTTTAAATTAAGGTTTAGCTTCATGAATTTAATTTTCCATTTAAAAATTATCATAGCCTCTATATTTTTATATGAGGATATTCGTCTTAAGATGTTTAAAAAAATCAGTTATTAAAATGCTTGGTGATTTTGGCATAATGAATAAAAAACATATTTCTATATCGTTATCTATCTTTTTTAAATAATTTTATATTATTACAAGGAACATATCTTGTAAAATATACATTATCCATTATTTTTTTATAGAAAGCACATATATATTGTAGAATATATTTCTCTTTTCTGTGTAATATTATTCTAAAAATATAATTGAAATATATGAAAATATACGTTTTCATCTACAAATGTATAATGTTCTAAACTATCATTAACTATCTAAAAGTGTGAAATTATAGTTTTCACTCCTTTTCTTTCATTGATATTAATTAGACTAGAACTCTAAGATAATTAAAACGATCTAAACAAACTTGAGAAATTTCAATAAATTTTGTGTAAAATTATCTTAAAAATATTTTTTTTGCCTACTGCATATTCTTTATTTCAAACATGTAATATTATTTTCATTTTTTCAAACAATGGAACAACAATGGAAAATAATATTTTTTTATTTATTTTTTTTAGAGATATTAATATGATCAGGACGAATATACTCATATCGTATAATCCACATAATTCGAATTCACTTAATTAATAAATTCAATGTAAAAATTACCCGTCACTGAGGCATCTAGATGTTCATGCGAAATTAAGAGGGTGATCATTGTATTTGAAAAATGAAAATGAAAAATAATCTCAAGAGGCAGAGGGAACGCCAAAGTCTAGTCTTACTGTTCTCGTCTCGATATATTCATAAGCAATACTATTGTATAAGCAATCGTACATATCATAGATAAAATCTCTCGATATGCCAAGGTATGTTTAGGAAAAAAAATACAATACTTTATTCATACAAACATACCTTTTTATTTATCGCGTATGGATTAATCCATACACAAAATTATCAAATTATTGCCTGCAATACTTTTTGCAACTACATTGCCGACAATAATTGGCATATATAATAAGCTACCCGCGTTCGAAATACAATAATCTAAATATTTTATTCTCACGAGTACCTATAAACCCATAAGACATACTTGTTTCATGAATTTATAAGTGATTAATATTGATCAACTACCGACAATAATTTTGATAATTATATCGTTGATGAATAATTGCTCTGAAAAGTCATCATTATCAATATATCATTAAAGATTATAAGAGTCTCAATAATTAGTCGATGTTAATCAATTATTGCCACCCAATAATAGTCGGAAGATGTATAGTTGACAATAATTAGAGCTGTCACTTAGCAGAATATATCTCTCGATGTACACTGTGAAATTTATTCAATTTAGAAGGACAAAGATATTTGATTCAATTACATATCTGCAAAACAATGTTTTTTTATATATTAATTTCAATATTATTATGTATAATATAAAAGTTTTTAATTAGGACTTTACGCACACATTTTAGATTATCTACATATAACTTATATTGCTTTGTTTAATTATTAATTGCCTCTCTTGCCAGCATCATAACTTATTATATTCTGTTAAGAATTTAAAAAAAAAACGATATGTACACACATTTATATGTGACATTTAAGTAAATATTATATCGCACTTCTCTCTCTTAATGTTCCAATAAATTAATTATTAATTTTATTATTATTAATTTCTGTATTTTTATAAAACTCTCAGTTTTAATAAATTAATTTTAAATAAAATAATTTGTAAACATAAACGTCACTTTATGTTTTATAAGATTTAGTGAGTTTTCATTTTATACACTTTTTTTGTATTATATAAGTGTGAAGAG